CACCGCTGAAACCACCACCATTACCACCACTAATTCAGACATTGTCACCACTAACACCAACGTTCTTTCCACAGCACCATGAAGTCAGGACTGCACTGTGTTCACAACCACGTCTCTAGATGTTTTGACGAGACGCGTCAGCGTGTCATATATCAGCTGCTGACGGGCACGGAAGATGTCATCAAGAGCCTCTGTATGGCCGGCAACTTCAGGGATCGTGAGTATAAATATTTACACTGTATAAAGCAACTTCATGTTTACACCGTGTAAAGCGGTTTTAAGGGTGTTGAGTGGTTTTAAGGGTGTTGAGTATAAATGTTTACACCGTGTAAAGCAGTTTTAAGGGTGTTGAGCGGTTTTAAGGGTGTTGAGTATAAATGTTTACACCGTGTAAAGCGGCGTCAGACACCCCAAGAATAAATGTTTACTTTGTAGTAAAGTAACATCAGGGACAATGAGTACACAGGCTTCTTCTTTCTCTTCTTTTTTTTTTTTTTTACCTGAAGACGGCTTTAGGGGACATCGGCCTCCCCCCGCTACCCGGCCCCAGACCAAGAAAAGAAATTTAAAATTTACAGATTACTAGACCAAATGATATTCAGTTCTTTATTAGGTTTAAATATTCCATGCTCCTACACACACACACACACACACACACACACACACACACACACACACACACACGATCCTCGATTCCCAACAAGAACAACTAATCAGGTACACGTCTCTGCTACTTGTTATATTGAGACAAGAAAAGATCTCATAAGCAGAAATGAGTTAAGAAGTAACGGAAACCAGAATAAGCAAATACAGGATGAGTACTTCTCGTCTACGAACTGGGTGAGTGCAGCTGAGCAATGATCAGTGTAGAGTGAGTCAAACCTCCCCTACTACTCCCACTGACACACTGACTAGGCCTTTTACGAAAAAAATAACTATTTCCTCTATGGCTATATGTTGGAATTTTTGTGCTTACGCTGCTTAAGCACAAAGAAAGAAAAAATACGACATTATTCTCTTAAGAAAGATGCGAACTCTGGCCCCTCTATTACTAATGGAATGTCGTAACCACTGTGCCACAGTAATATAATATAAATTAAGAAGGTGCTGCGGTCTAGACAGGTGTATTCAACAAACCATTACTCATTCAGTAGCAAACCTCTGGAGGTTATGATCAGAGTGACACAGAATAGTTGTGGACACTGAAAGTCCCTTATTATGGGAGAGAGAGACAGCAGCCTGATCCCTTGGCCAATCCCTCAGGATCTCGCTGGATGAAGCAATGAATCCCTTCCCGGTTGTTCCTGGAGATGCTTCTCCCGTATCGCGGCGAGTCATTCTTTCTACAACCAACCCACAGCCATCCCAAACACTTCCAAGCCATCCTAAATATTTCCCAGCCATACCAAAAACACTTGCCAGCCATACCGAACACTTTCCCAGTCATCCTAAACGTTTCTCAGAAGTCGCTAAGTCTTTACGAGTCGCCTCCAAAACTTTTCCCAGTTATCCAAACGCTTACTGGTCGTCCCAAAGTTCCCTAGCCTTCCTATAGCATCTTCATTTTGTAACTCTCCCATCGCGTCCTAGGTGCCTAGCCCAGTCACAAGTACCACATCTCTCCCATTGTCACCCTTGTTGCATATACCTTACACTTATGACGCCTTTCCCCACACACTATAAATCTGACCCAACTTTATGCTACACCCCAGAATCTCACAGCTAATTGGCTGCCCCAGCATAGTTTGTGTTCCAGCGCCTCCCTTCCACAACCTGGAATTAACGTCTCATCCTCGTTACTTTCCCCGAGTACTTGAAACACACTGATACCTTCCTGCCATTGTCTCAGAAACACCTAAATCCTTTCGACATGTATAGGTCAAACTGGCTAAAATTTTGAATGGGGGTTCTTGTGTAAATATATGTGTACTGATTAACACTATGTATAATAATATTCTCAAAGCTATTACTATGTTAGGCCTGGTAAGATACGTCAGGAAACCGGACAGGTGTTTCCTGAAGCGGGCCTTGTCATATGATGACGCGCACTGAAGCTTTTGGTCATCTGACCGAGGCCTTATACTGGCTTATCGGTCCATCTCTTTTAAAATTATGGTTATGATTATAACCATCCAGTGATATATTACTACAGATAATACTATTGCTATTGTTTTTCCTCTGTGTTCTTTTCTTCCACTACGACCTCAACTCTTCCAGGACTTCCATATGGTATTTGTCATCTGCAAACAGCAGCTGAGGTAAATCGTAGTAACACCCTCCCTTCCTGATGTACTCTGGATACTCCCAGTCTCCCTCCCTGAACCTTCCCTGCAGAGTACTTCATGTACGCTCCCTCACTCCCTTTCTTCCTCCTTGCACCCTCCTTACAGAGCACTTGGTACACAATTCTCCCTTCTCTCCTTTCAAAGTAATACATGCACAATAACACCATCCCTCTTTTCCCTCAGAGTACCTGATATAAATTAATGTCCTCCTTCTC